ATGTCTGGAGCTTCATAATTCCCATCATGTAGGCCATTTCCGGCATACAACTAACCTTGTTTATTTATTTGTTTACGGTAACATTCTTATGAGCCAATTGTAATTCACGGCAGAGGTTAGCTGTTCCTTGTTTGCATTCTCAACCGGCCACACTTTTGCTTCTAGTTGCTGTGGCCTATTTTAAACCCCCTTCTCTAGTGCCAAGTGTTTCACCGAGTAATTCTCGAAAGTAAGCAGTTATTTAACGACGTTACGTCAGCAGCCAAATTGAGCCAGGATACTTAATCAGCAGAATGACTGGTTGAGGGCTGCTCTAACAGGGTTCGAATCCCGGTAAGGTCGGGTTCAGCCAACCTAATCAGAGAGTAACGGCCAGGACATTCATTGCCAAAGTTATTAAGAACGGAGCTTCGCGTCATGGCTACCACCATGGTATGCGGACAAGAGTGATATTGGCACTAGCAGGTGGACAGTACATTTAAGGTTTTGACGGGGCGACTAGTGCTTGACTGGGAGAGCAGTATCAACGTGGATATTAGGAAATCACCGAAATTTTGATGAAATAAATGGAACATAAATAGGCATACTGGAGCGAGCAGAAAATTAAAGCCATTTTTAGTTTACCTGAAGAGTTATATTGGTAGAATTTGCGAAGATGGCGCATAGAAATAAGTTACCCTTACCCTATTTATACTTGGCTGGTTTTCATTGTCTTTTGGCTAATGATAATGCTGTTGCACTTTTTTTTTCCCCTTGGCACTAAAGCCCCAGTGGGCCTAGGCCTACCTCCATGAACTTCTCCGTTCACTTCGGTTTTTCTAGATCTTACACATTCGGTAGGATTCCTTGGGCGGGTGATCAGCTCGTCGCAAGGCCTCTACCTGTACACGAACACAGAGAAACGCACACACACAAACTATACATCTATGTCCTGAGTCGGATTCGAACCCACGATCACGGTTTCCAAGCGAGCGAAGACAGTGCATGCCTTAGACCGCTCGGCTACCGGTTGCACATTTGACATGACTAAAAGTCCACAAAAGAAAGACGACTTGAGATCCGATTGTTTGCGATCAACGAATGTTACGACTAGTGAAATTTACGGAAGAAATGCCAGTGAATATGGCGATAACTGTGTTGCCGGAAGAAACTGCGAGTGGGAGGAAAGATGCTAGGTAGGACGGACGAGTGGTTTTGGGCATGCGCATTCTGGTCGGCTGTCGACTGTAAGATGTATAGAAGTCAAGGATATATCGATCAGTACTTATGAAATTACTACTGAACCTAGCATCAGTCATTGAAGAAGCGATTCAAGGGTCAATCAAAGACGTTTTATTACCTTCGAATTAGGAATTTGTAGGCCGTTGAATCTGATAAACTGAAAAGCAACGCGAAAATATGTCTACCGTGTGAATATTTTTCCAAGACCTGTAATTACGTAATCTGGAATCGTATTTACTTGCTTTCTTTGAAACTAGAGCATACTGTTTTTAAGACAGTGTCATGACTATACATTATTTTCTTGTTGTTTGTCTTTCTCATGTTTATTCAGTGCCGATCACAGTGGCCGCGCTGTCTAAGTCGTGAACTGTCTTCGCTCGCTCGAACACTGGGATCGTGAGTTCGAATCCCACTTAAGGCATGAATCTTTGTGTGCTTTTTTTGTGTTTATGTTGTTCTATGTAGGTAGCGGCCTTGCGACGGGCTGATCCCCCGTCCAAGGAGTCCTACCGACTGTGTATGGGATTAAGAAACTGAAAAAAGCGGCCAAGGTCCAACAAAAGGACTGTAGAGCCATAGATAGGTAGATGTTTATTCAATGATGCAGAAACTCAAGAATGTAAGTAAATCTACACTCGAAGCTCTCAGATCTAAAAGGGGTGCGCCTAAATGTGACACATTGTGTTGTTACGACGCTGTGGAATTCGGGGTCAGGTTTTTATAACTCTGGCTAGAGTTTTCTTATGTGCGGCAGGCATCCAAACGTTTCCGTAGTAATGTAGTGGGTAGCAGTTTGCAAGTTGCTGCTCATATGAAGAGTCGTGTCTCTTTTAGAGTGCTGGTCTTTTGTGTAGAATGTGTTAACAGTAAAATAGACTTGATACAATTTTGGATACTGCGGGTGTCTGAAACCTCCCCTTTAAAAATATGAAAATAATAGTAAAATGGTCGAAGAAGTTTGAAGATTTTTCTATGGAGGGAAGTTAAATTTTATTCAAAATTTCCCTCGATATATGTCAAAATAATAGTAGGCTAAACTAAGGTAGAGAATTTAAATTTGATCAAGTACGCCCTTTAACAATTTTAGAATTTCAATTCCTGTGGGTTCTGAAACAAAAATATCAGCATGTCATTAGTTTTTAATGCGAATACATAAGGCCATATATCCACACATCTCTGTGGAAAAGTTCTAGGCTTACGAGGAATAATAATATAACATATTTCTTTTGGATGTTTATTTGAGGATCCTGTGGACAATATTTTGCGAAATTCTGTGCGATTGGGTTGCAGAGGGTAGTGGCGGCTACTTGAGATAATTGTCGAAGCCCTTGGAGAGAAGCGGAATTTAGAATAATAAGAAAATGAGATAACACACCTACAGAGTCCTTATGAAAAGCACACGGTTCGTATCCAGCTGTCGTGATATGAGAATGTAACTTTTATAAAGTTATATCCACGTACATTGATATGATTTGTGACATCGCTGTTCCACATTTACTGCGTCCGTTACTTTAGAAATTGATTTAGAATTCTTACTGCGTGCACACAGAAGTAATTTAGCTACCAGTGCTTTGTAGAACGTTATTTTAATGCAACGCTCTTTATTGTGCTTCTGACATTTTGAGTTCAGGTATTGTTTATATAACTGTCAGTCCTGTGCCAGTCTTCATGTGTTATGCTCTGTTTCTTCCTAATGGCGCTATAATTCTTTCATATTTCAAAACATTTTCTTCGTCTGTAACAATCTGTTATTAAAGGAAATATGTTATTTTTGTAATTTATGTGACAGAGCGTAAGATATGGGTGTTGGTTCTTTCTTCCGTCAACACATTTCTCAACTCATCGGTCGATTAGCTTCTAAGATATTGCTCATGGACTTCGAAATATCAACATATCAAACCAATTTATTGTAGTTGATCGCAGGAAATCGCTCTCACTTTTCACTGCCGCCTTGTAATATCGTATCCACGATTTTTTATTGATATTTCTTGTTTATTTTTACACATTCTTACATGTTCGTTAGATTGCAAAAGCGACATTTCCTTTCACGAGTGAAATAATTGTCAGGAATAAACACATTAACCAAACAATTAGCTTCATTTAATAGAAGCCGATGGTCGTTTAGTTAATCAAGACATTTCAAAATGAATCCATTCCAAATCTCACGAACTTCATTTTAAGATATATTTTAATTTGTCCTCCAATCTACGTCTGAATCTCGAGAATAGTCTCTGCCTTTCATGATCTGAGGCTAAAATATTATATGCATTTCTCAACTATCCAATGCATGCTTCATGTACATCCCATCTCACACTGATCTAATAGTCGTAACAGTATTTAGTGAAAAGTGCATTCCTTATTACGTAATTTTTCCATCGTCTGGTTCTTTCCCTCTCCTTGCTTCAACTGTTCTCCTTAACAGCCTGATGATCTATGTCCTTCCGAAAGACAACAATCTGACGAGAGCACTCAGGCATAGGAACGGAGGAACTACGGCGCTGCTGTCTGCAAAGAGAACGTGCGCCTTGTGTCAGAGCTTTGCTTCCGAGTTACCCCTCCGGACAGTACGAAACGAGCTTTTAGATACTTCAGATAACTTTTTTTAATTCGCTTAGTAGGGGATGGAGTCCAATTGGGTCCACTCGGCACGGCGGCCACTGATTGGCCTATTGTAGCCTGCACCGGGTGATCATGATGATGGAGAATTTGGTTGAATGAAGATTGGCAGGGTAAACCGAAGTACTCGGAGAAAACCCGCCCCAGCGCCACTTTGTCCACCACAAATCCCACTTGACCAGACCCCCGGGATCGAACCCGGGCCGCCGCGGTGGGAAGCCAGCGACTAACAGCTTGAGCTATGGCGCGGCCCCAGGTACTTCAGATAACTTGGTTTGTTCTTACTTTCTGTGGGTAAAAGTTCCGCGTGTAACAAAGAGCACATTCCAACACAATGTCACATTTCTCTCTAATCGTCCACAGATTTGAGACCATTTTAATTTTGTGCTAATACATTCCGTTATGTTCTTGAATTGCGCAAAATCTCAAAGGATACTTAGTCAGCACAACCATCATTAAGTGCCTAGGTATTTAAACACAATACAGCTACGTTCTTCTTCAGGTTGTGCTGTTAGACTGCATTTCACACAAATTACAAATTGCTGTTTAATTTGCATGCGTACGTTGTCTGTAAAGTAAAGTACCTGTAAAGGCCACGCCATAGCTAAAGCGGTTAGTTGTTGGCTTCACACCGCGGCGGCCCAGGTTGAAACCCGGGTCTGGTCAAGTGGGATTTGTGGTGGACAAATTGGCGCTGGGGCGGGTTTTCTCAGAGTACTGCGGTTGCACCTGCTAATCTTCATTCCATCAAATTCTCCGTCATCATAATCACCCGGGGCAGGCTACAATAGGCCAATCAGTGGCCGCCGTGCCGAGTGGACCCAACTGGAATCCCCCCCCCCCCACCATCACCGTCAGACGACACACCACTCCGCCTNCCCCCCACTATGCGAATTGAAAAAAAAAGTACCTCGAACCTTTCAAACCTGTTACGTATTTACACCTACATACGGCAACACAGAATCTGACGTTGATCTTAACGTGATATTAGAGCGCTGTCCATATCATAATGTGTACTACATAACTTATAATAGCTCTGTATAATTCTCAAATGCGTCTCTTCGTATGCTGGAATAATGAATCGATGGATGATTTGTGCAATGTTTTAATTGAAACTGTGTTCCGGTTACACCAGTAATTAAGGTGTCTTCCTCTTGTTACAGTGAATCTGACCGGGACTGGCAGAGTCGATATGTCCAATTTCGATATGCTACGAGTTCTGGGAACCGGAGGTGAGTACATTTTCCGTTAACTCACATTCGTTGCAGTTGCGGTTCGTAACGTAATTATAGTAACATTGTGGTAGCAGACCCATAGTGTCATTACCGCTATAACGAAAGTTCGTTAATGTGCAAGCTCCTGAGCCAGTAATGATTGTTCATGATATTCATGGGATGACGTTGAATATTTTTCATGAATTATCGCCAAAACTCCCCCAAAATTTGAAGAATTCAAGCAGACTACATGATAATTTTGGCCCATTCACAAACAAGGAAGATTTTTTTTTGTTTCAAGAAGGCAGAACCGTGGGTAAAGGTGTTTTTCTAACCTTGCAGAATTACCTGCTTCTTGAACTAATATATAAGAATCTCTTTTTGCAATAGGGCCTTTCCTTCAGCTCCTTTGTTCCGTTACGTTGAACAATTAAATTCGCTTAATGGGGGGTGGAGTCCAACTGGGTCCACTCGGCACGGCGGCCACTGATTGGCCTATTGTAGACTGCCCCGGGTGATTATGATGATGGAGAATTTGGTGGAATGAAGATTGGAAGGAGAAACCGAAGTACTCGGAGAAAACCCGCCCCAGTGCCACTTTGTCCACCACAAATCCCACTTTACCAGACCCGGGATCGAACCCGGGCCGCCGCAATGGGAAGCCAACGACTAACCGCTTGAGCTATGGCGCGGCCTATACGTTGAACAGTTAATAATGCCACCAATTTAGCAATTATCCCCCATAGGTTTGAATGATGATAACCGTAAATTTCAACAGGAATATGCGTTACATTCATACAGATACCACGAGAAGTCGGTAGAACATAGCATCCATCTGTAGGTAAATTGGAGTACTGGTTCTACCATGAATTTAAATTGCAAGAAAATTTCGGCTATTACGAGCTGTAATATTAGTGGCGATGAAATCAACGTTCAGAATAGAAATATTATGTGTAAGATTTGAGGCTTTCACGGCGGTGACTATGAAGANATTATTTCCTCGAACATATTAGGACGTTCAGTATCGGATTTGCTACTTAAAAAATAAACCACTTCCAAGAGTGCGTATTATTTACCAGTTACTTTTCTCAGTATGTGATGTAAATTGTATTTCTTTATGACATACCTGTAAAATTTTCAGTTTTTATTACTCGAAATTTCAATTACCAAGTCTACTCAAAAGAACTCGCTTGTTATTTTGTTCTCCGGTATGAATGTTAACAGCAGAGTCCGCCGAAGGCACCGGACACAGATTGTTTCCATTCGTTAAGTGTGAAACAGCGTACAGAAAAACAACTTTCAAATGGAATTTTAACTGCCTCATCAGTTCATGTATGCTACAGCCAGACTGCTGTAGAGAAAGACATAACGCAAAGCCAGGTAGCATAAGAGGAGGATTCGAAGATTCAAACAAATACTTATAGTATTAAAAATGGACACCGACGTTGACTTAGCCACTGTTTCGCTGATGGGGACGCCGATGTGCTGGCAGGAGCGCACTGAGTAGCCGAACACAAGTGAAAATCATTCTGACATTACTCTCACGTGGCAGGCAGAATCGCGCCGAAGCCTCACGTAATTCATTAAGCCGTGGGTCCCGTGTCGTAGCTTTACGGCACGTAAAAGAACCTCATGTCTCAAGGGGACCTCTGAGCCAAATTCAGGACATTTCCCGCCCAACAGTAGTCTCCAACGCCTCTCATAGATGGGGGAAGCATCGAGAGACCGCTGAGCCAGTAGAGGCCGAACTCGCTGGCTGAGTCGGGACTGATGGCACGCACCAGTACCGGTAGGATATAGAGACTGGTAGAATATCACAGGGGGACGCACAATGGACTAACAGCTGGTCTAAGTGCATGGGGAAACCCACCCTCTCCAACAACAACAACAACAACAACAACAACAACAACAACAACAGTAGAAATCAGAAATCGCATAAAATTATAAGTCTTTAAAATCCAGACAGCTGCGCATGCCTGTGGTTGCCAGGCCTAAGACGCCTTTGCAGACGCTGACGTTTTACTTCAAGAAGTAATTTACCGAAAAGATTTCACAACATTGTCACATGTTGTGAAATCTTTTCGGTAAATTACTTCTGCACTGCCGCTAATCTGCACACTTTACAAATCCCTGCAGCATACCCAAAGTCTTCTCAGTTGCTATATCGTCACCAGCCGTTGCCTGGTAACGACTGTCAGCAATAGATGCTCGTTTATTTCCATGTTCACGTCCTTACCAGCTGGCGACTGTCTCACAACTCCTCATGGTCGTAACTGGCTGTCGCTGTCACTGGTCGGATGAATTGCTACTGGTCTTTGCCATCACAGTCATTCCTGGCTTCATGGCTTCAGTCTGCTCGAGATCCATGACCAAGATTTTTATTATCCCATAGACCTGTACGTGTTTTTAAATGGGGTCTCTTCTTCGACGAAGGATGGGTCGGTCCTTCTATGTAGGCGTTACGTTTGTTGCACGTGGTTTGAGCCCGAGTATATCCGCGCTGTTACGGCGTCCAGGTCACATTGACTCGGTACATCCTTTGTCACTGCACTATACTAAGTAACATTTATGTAAGATATACAGACGTTTTCTGTCCATAAAAATTTGTGCAGCAGGTTATGCCTTAATTTACGCAAATACTCTGAAAATGCAGTTAGCTGAACGGTCGTAGGCCTGACCATCGCAGAGTTTAAGACTCTTACTTCCTATGCCTGGCTTCTCCTTGTCCAGTATCAGGTACATTTGGATTTACGTGGTTTCGGATTACGTCCGCCTGTATCCTGCATAATGTAATTGTATAGTCATACACGGAAGAAATTTTGAAAGCTACTTGCGCCACCGCGTACTGATATGCCCCTGTCAAGAGTTTCAGTAGCGCGGAGTATTCTGTTCTGCAGGCGCTGTAGTTTCAAGAGATAAGCGTCCGCCGCATGCTCCCAGGTGGGACAGACGTAAGTCAAAACTGACGTAATCAGAGTTTTGTAATGCGTAAGATTAATATTTGTACTCAAATGTCCACTTTTGAACAGAAAATAGGAAAGTACGTACGTGCCCAGGGCCTTGGCCGCAGTCATTTCAGCATGGTGTCTCCATGTCATCCGCGTGTGGAAAGCGACACCAAGATACGTTACATTGTTTACGAAGGGAATGTCTCGTCCGTTTAGTTGTAGTGCGTCGTCAGGGACTTTTAAGTCTACTGGAGAAATACATCGCATGAGTTTTACCTTCATTGAGCTTTATATTCCAACGCTCACACCACGAATTCACTGCAGTGAGGCCGCGCTGCAGTTCGCACGAAACACGACATTCGTGTTTCTCTGCCTCGTAAATACAGGCATCATTCGCGAATAGAGCAAGGTGAGTTCCAGATGCGGCCGGGGCATCATTTATATACAGACTGTACAATATTGGGGCGAAGACGGACCCCCGAGAAACCCCTGCCGCTATTTTCCTTGGCGTTGAAAATTTTCCGTCTACCGAGACTTTATATTTTCGGTCAGTGAGAAAAGAAACAATTTGCTTAATGAGCCTTGTCGAAAATTCTAATTCTGACATTTTATATAGTACACCAGAGTGTCATGTTGTGACGAAAGCAGCCGTCTACATGTTATTGTTGAAATTAGGGTGACGTGATCCGCCAGCCTCACACATTGAAGCGTCGTACTGTGATCTGCTCGATAGCCAAACTGACTTTCATGTAGTAAGTTTCTTTCCTCAGTGTCTTTTGGATTGTTCTTGAAATCAGCTTCACAAATACACGTTGTAGTTTGCACGTAGTGGACAAGAAGCCGATGGAACGTAAACTTTGATGAAATTTTGAGTCTGCCGAATTTTGGCAGGCTTAACATTTATAGCCTCTTTCCTATGTGCCGGGAAGTGACCTAGCCGAAGGCATTGTTTTGAATAAATGTGTTAAATGCATGAGAGTTCTTGGAAGATGCCGGAGACATTAATTTGGAATGCCATCAAAACCACAGGCCTTTCCTAATTTCAATGATTGTATCTCTTTTGAAACTTCACAGGGTCGGAAATTAACAGGGATATCTTCATCGACGGTAGCCAGAAGGGCTCCGACTTGAGCCGCCACTTATATATGGTTATACTTGCACAAGTCATGAGCTCTGAATTTGTTTTCTAAGCAGTCTGCGATTATATTGACTTTATCGATTGGATAACCACCCATCTTTAGAGGGATTTTGCAATAGACCAAATTGCTTGAGACGTGACTTTGCAGTTTGCCATCATTTGTCTCCCATCTTTCATGTGCTCTTTTCCGGACCTTTCTCCTGATATTTCGAGTCACCCAGTTTACTGCCGTTTTGCATGCTGGATCTCTGGTTTGTTCAACTTCTTACAATGCGAACTGGGATAGCTCGGCCAGTAAAGTGAGTGGCCACGGGGTGGACTAGCGGGGTACGATTACCGCTTTTTGTAGGAAATTTTCTGTTCTCCTCTGCAACGACGCCGCCCCTGGAACCCACCACCCAAAGCTATCGTAACTGACTTCCGTTTCGTACTGGTTAAGAAAGCGGCTCTTCTCCGCGCGTCTTTATAGCGTGGTGCTTGCACTTCATTTCCAGAGAATGGTGTGTGTAAGCCCAATGTCGACGGTCTTTTAATCTTGATTCTACCCAGCACGCCAAACGTAAGAAATGGGTCTTGAACTGATACATAGTATAGAGATTCGCTACGGGACGGACGACCGAGAGGTCGGGTTTCGAATCCCGGTAGGGTCAAGAATTTTCCCTTCTCCACGTCGTTCAGACCGGTTCTGGGGCCCACCCAGCCTGCTATCCAATGGGTACGGGGGCTATTTCCCCCGGGAGTAAAGTGGCCGGGGCGTGAAGCTGACCACTCGCCTCCAACTAGTGTGCTGAGGTCAAGGAAACGTGGATCTATACATCCACTCCCCCATACGCCTTCATGACATAGTGCTTAGTTAAGTACAGCGACAACTTTACCTTTTTACTTATATCCAGAGGTAGGCCGCGCCATAGCTCAAGCGGTTAGTCGCTGTC